AAAGAAAGGATTAGCATTTCCCTGGGAAAGCGGTTCCCTGAGAAATCACCAGCAACACAGATACACTGAATTCCACCTCTGGAACACCAGGCCAGGTACCAACTGGGAATTTGGAAGGAATTCGCTCTGACCTGTATTCTGAAGATGCTAAGTAAGGGTATATATATATATATATAAATGTACCTATATTTGCACGATAGCACAGCGGGTAGGGCGTTCGCCTTACACGCGGCCAACATGGCCGACCCGAGTTCGATTCCTCCGCCCCTCTCGGAGAGCCCGGCAAGCTACCGAGAGTATTCGATATGCCAGACACAGTAACAACAAAGTCTCCAATGGAGACGTTACTGGGCCCGCTCGAGCAAATCGACGATCAACGGGAGGGCCTTTACCTTTTACCTATATTTGCACATACAACTAAAATGTAGGATATTTCCTATACAAAGCACTACAAGAGTAGTTTGGGTGTTGCTGAGAATCCAGGTCAGAAAAGGTCTCTGAAAGACACATCATTTAACATGATTCCCGAACAACTGACAGGACAGTGGGGTGTGAAGGAAGGCCTTTCAGGAGAAGCAGGGGTGGAAGCCAAGGAGGATGACAGCAGAGGGGGCAGGTTTCAGGACTCCCACCAGTACTATGGGTAGGTAGGTTGTTGTGAAGGAGAGGAACAGAGGTAAGTCAGTAAGAGCCAGGCCAGGCCAGGCCAAGCAGAGGCTGACCATGGGGCTGGATTTCCTCAGAGTGAAGTGCATAGCCAATGAAGTCTTGGGACCTCTTGCCCAGCCTAAGCTCTCTTCCTGTGGAGTCGATGGGCAGAAAGGGACAATGTGAGGGCTCCTATAGCAGCAAAGTGTTAATAGGGTAACAACACAAACAGGTTCAAGCAAATGAGAAAAGGCAAAGGAAAGAGGTCAAGGACTAAGCAAAACTTAAATTGGTGATTTTTATTTTTGTGGGCTGTTCATCTGTTTGGTTTTTTTTTTGGGGGGGGGGGGTCCTCCCAAGCAATACTCAGGGAGTTCAAGGGCCACTTCCAGTGATATTCAACCAACCAGGCCAGATGGTTCAATGCAGTGCTGCTCATGGCCCTCAGGGGCACCTCCAGGGGTGGTTGGAGACCAACATGGTGCCAGGACTTGCACATCCTGCATACGCACTGGATCCCTGCATAGGCATTGGACCCCTGAGCTAACCCCCCAGACCAATAACACTGAAATTTTCAACTTAAGTAAAATTTTCATTTGACAAGCAGACATCATGGCCCTGGGGGTAGTCACTTTGCCAGGATCAAGAGATATCAAGAGACTTAGGAGGTCTGGATCACAGGTCTTACTCTTAACCACTTCTTATTCTGCAGGGGAGACTTCTTATTCTGGGGGTGGAGTTCTTCCTGTGTTTCTTTTTCAAATGAAAGAACTGTGATTTACAAAATTATTGCTAATTGAGTTTTAGGCATATAGGCAGGGTACCAGGAAGGTCTGAACTGGCAGAGGAGAATCCCTGTTCAGCAAAGCTGACATCCGAGGTAACTCAGTCCTGTAGAGCATCGGACACTGTGGGTAGTCCTGTGAATAGGTTCCAGGGTGGCTGAGCAATGTACCTCCCTATCAGTTTCTAAGGAGACACAGGGTTTTTTTAATGTTTGTTTGTTTTGTTTTGTTTTTTTGGTTTTTGGGTCACACCCGGCGATGGTCAGGGGTTACTCCTGGCTCTGTGCTCAGGAACTAGTCCTGGCAGTGCTCAGGGGACCATATGGGATGCTGGGAATCAAACCCAGGGTCGACCACATGCAAGACAAATGCCCTACCTGCTATGCTATCACTCCAGCCCCGACAATGAGGTTTAGGGCACGAGGTGAGGCATTTCCCCAAGCATCATACGGTACTCTTCCCTACCCAGACACTCCCCACAGAGGTGCCTGTGCTAAGGATGAAGCACCTTTCAGAAAGGATACAAGCGTTTTGTGTTTGTTAGTTGGTCTTTATTTGGGAGACCACACGCGGTGATGCTCAGGGGTTACTATTGGCTCGACACTCCAGAATCTCTCCTGACAGGGCTCAGGGAGTGCTGGGAATCAAACCTGAGTAGGTCACACGTGCAAGGGCCGTAGCCGCTGTACTATCACCCCAGCCCCAAATGATACGTGCTTTTAACGGGACTGAGGAGAGGCTGCTACTGACAGAACTATGAGGGCTGCCGAGCAGCCGTCTCCATGGCTTCAGCCTCCACCAGTCCCCGCAAGCACACAAATGGAAGCTGCTTAGAAACTTGAGACTGTATGTTTATTTTCCTTTTTTTCAAATCTAAGCCTGGGAAAACTTGCTGCCCTCAAGGTAGTCATCAGCTCCCCAGAGATGGCTTCACTGCATACAACCCAGACAGAACGTGCCTTTGACAGCAAGGTTCCCTCCCCACCCAAAGGGCTTGCTTCCAAGTCCATCCCCAGAAACCAGCAGAAACCTTTTCCACAAAGCCGGTCCCAGGTCCGACTCTCGGCGGTGCTCAGACCTGCGTCCAGAAGAGCCAGCAGGAGAGCTCACCATGGCCCAGAAAGGCCTCTGCCCTTCCTCCTCACACCACTCACATGAACTGAATGGTATTTACTACAGATAAAAAATAAGCTTCATTCAGCTGCTCCTAAACCGATCCCAAAAATAGAGCAATCACTTTAGTACAAATTGGACCAATTGTATTTAAAAAAAATTTTTTTTTCTTTTAAAGCCCAGCTCCCTGACAAGGATGACATGACATGGGACATGACATGGGACACTGCTCAGAGACGGGGGGGATTCCACAATTCTTCCCTTCCCACAAGGCAGTGCTGAAAAAGTCCAGCAGAGAATAAAGTCATCTGGCACGACGCCCCTGTGCAAGTGAACACAAAGCGGACTACTGAACCCCGAATGCCGTGAACTTCCAAATACTAAGAAATCAAGGGATAGATGTTGGTCTTCAGAAAGTAACACAAGGCCTTCCACCCCCACTACAAAAATAAATAAATAAATAATATAATAAAGGCTGAAGTTTAAGAAGCAACAAAAAAGATCATTAGGGGGGACTTGAGGGGGAGGGGGCTTCCTGGGGACCGAAAGATTCTTTTTCCATTTCGTCTACTTTTTTTCCCCCTCACGTTAACTAAGAAAAATTTAGACTATTAATTAGCATACACATTCAGTTACATTAATTATTCCATTGATCTGAATTAATAAGCCTTTCTGAAAGGTATTTATTTTCTAACTTTGTTTAATCATTTTCTCTTGAGCTCCAAAAGCAACAAACTGGGTCACCATCCACATTGTTAAATTTGGTAACGAGGCGAACACCATCTGTGGCCTGGGCCTCAACACTCCATCCCCACGGATGGGGGCTTCTCATGCTTCTGGCTGCTTGAAAAACGATCACAGAATGTCACATGCGTACAACTAAATCAGAAGCCATTTAACATATCCAAACTTATGAAAATTATCCCTAATAGACGATAAATAAATACCAACAGCATTTATATGTGCACACCACTCCCATTATCATTGTAGTTTCAGTAGCATTGTCCATACGTTTTTTAAATTCTCTACACCGTAGCATACCACAGCCCAACACTGAACAGATAACACTCAACATTTGGAACATGACGCATTTGAAATGTGATAGGAAATCCTGAACTCAGAATCCAAGGACAAAATCACACAAGCAAGATTGCAATACGTCTCGAACTTCAAGTTCCCACCGATCCACCTACCTCACAAGAAGTTTTTACCTGTATGAAATTCACTCAAGAACAGCCAGTCCAATAAAAGTACAGCTTCAACACAAGGAGCCAAAAGCAAACGGAACTAGCTACACAACAGTAAAACAATTATTTTCTGTCCTCCAGCACTGGGTACTCCTTCCCCCACCATCCTGCATGGTCTCCAGTGATCAAGAAAGGCTCTTAGCAAGTGGGACACTACAGCACCAGAAAAAACCTTAAATCACTTCTGACTCATCAAGAAAGAATACAAAATGTCAAAGGTAAAAACAATCCTCCTGATTTTCTGATCTACTGATTTTCTGATCTACTCCCCTTACTCAGGTTAGTGAGTGCAACACAGAAAGAACATGGGAAAACCCCTAAAATACAGCCTTCTGATAGCCTAGTGAGACAAACTTAGAATTCCACTCCTTATTCTCCTAAGTGCTTTTAAAAAAAATAAAATAAAAAATAAAAACTATGTCAACCTTTCCCAAAGGAAGTTCCATGAAACCCTGGTTCCGTGATATGTCCTGCCAAAAAAATGTTTAAAGAATCCATGACCAATTACTTTTAGGGACTAGCTGAGTTAAACAAAATGAAACTGACTTTTTAACTACAGACCTTCCCAGAGCTTTAACTAAGCTAATTCGGACAATAAATCTTTAAGAGGATAATAAAGTATGTGGAAGCATCCCAATTTATTTAACCAAAGAATCATTTTACCTTGGGACATTTCATAGAACGAGGAGAAGTAAACTTAAACACTATCCTATATTCTTCTGCCACCTATTCTCTATATGGATGCGTTAGTTTTATTCTATTGTCTTCTCTAAGAAAGTAGTAGTTTATGTGCCAAAGATCTAGGATTATCATCTACTTACCAGAAAAGCTGACCAAAGTACCCACCATTCCAAATAATACTGAATTAAAAAAAAAAAAACAAATAAACCAGCACTAATTATCAAGAAAAGAATAATAGACAACAAAGTCTATGTGGAAACCAAGTTATTTTTAAATCTGCTACAAATCTCTTCCATCAAGAGCTTCACATCTATTTATAAGAGATTGATGACTTTAAACACATTCATTAAGCATAAATTTGAAAATACAGGTTTTAAAAATTGCTGTTGTGAAACTCCAGGAATCATAGGCAGGGCTATAAACCCCTCCCATCCAAAACATAGCTGCAGATTCAAGGAGAGAAGCAAACAATAACCACACTTCAGGAACCCACACCAGGACAAAGAGGAACGAGAAGGCCACTTACCAAGTTATGATTTGTTGAATTAGAATCATCTTCAGGGAATGGGATGTAAATAGCTAAGGCCACACAATTGGCAAAAATAGCCAATAATATAAATATGTCAAAGGGTCTGGAAGTTTTTGTTAAGGCATATATGTGATGAAAATATAAACCTCTCTCTCTCTCTCTCTCTCTCTCTCTCTCTCTCTCTCTCTCATTGCACCCCCAATCATACCACTTTTAACTGGTTTTAAAATTAAAATGAAATACACGGATCCTTTTCATACTGTTTCAAATGATATGGTTTCCAGCAGAAGGAACTGTGGATCTTCCCATCAAATGACCTCTCCATGTCCTTCCTTCTTTTGCAAAGATCATGTTACACTCATTCTTCTACTGTACGTTTTATACTGAAACCTAAAAGTATATACAGTTAAGGCAGTGCATAAAGCAGGCTTCTGCGTCTTGGAGTTTTCAAAGAGACTTGGGCCTTGGAAAGCTAAATTCCTGGCTACTGCAGACACAATGAGAAATCATCATGAGACAAATCACTTCCACAAATCCTGGCCTCCATGTGTTAGATCCATTCTCTCAGTGGCCATTGAACCAGTCTGTATCTCCTGTTTAGACAAGGGTAGGTCAGGTCCCCAGGACCTTCTCTGTTTTCCCTGTGATGGGCTCACAACATGTTCCTACACCTCAGAAGCTGGAATAATAAGCGAATCAGAGTTCAGCTCCTTCTCTGCTTCACTCCAAGAGTCATCAACGGTTATCACTGTTTCAGATTAGGGCTAGACTGGCACTCAGTATATAACATGCTGTTACTGTGTTCAATTTATAAACAAATTAAGTTGAGAAAGCCATAAGAAATCAACACCAGACACTCGGAAGGCACGATTTTAACAATTCAAAGTCTCAGAGGTCTGTGTGGAAGAATCGCTTTAAGATCAGCCTTCAACAGATACTTGATTAAACATTCTGGTGTTATTAAGCGACATTGTCAAAACTGGCAATACAAAATTTGACATCTGCCAAAATAACTGTTTTTCTTCTTTGGGGTTTTCAGTTTTTCCAATGCAAGGTGGCATGAGCACCAAGCTAATCTGCAATTCCCAGGCTTGGTGTTCCACCAGAGTTTTTCCATGTACCTTCCAACAAAAGGCAAGGCCACTTGTTTAACTACCTATCTCCAAGTACTCAAGATCTGAGGATAGGAATGAACTCTTCTCCATTTATCCTGACATCCTTCAGGGAAATCCCATAAAGTTGAGATAACAATGACCCCTTACCACTTCAGAGATACCCTGCCTTTGAGCAAAATTCAGTCCCTAGACATGCTTCAATGCTCACCAAAATAAGACTATTAACAGCTTTCTTCCCTTACTAATTTTTCAGTTTATTTTTAAAGCGTGTTAGCTTTCATTTCTATTTATTCTTTTAATCCTCAAGAATAATTTTTAAATTTAATTAAGGATCCAACTCTAAGGCAGTTCACCTGAAGACTTCAGAATCTCTCTTTTACTCTCTCCTTTTAGCAGTTAGTGCAAAAATTTGGAAAGTCAACTTCTCAACCTGCCTCTCACGGAATCTAACAGACTCTCAAACCCGCATGCACTATCATTTTCCCTTTTGAATTTCGTACTATGTAAGTGATAAGCCAGCAAGCCGGAGATATACTAACAACTATTCTGGAATCCCAAACAAAACTGCCCTTTCTTTTTCTTTATGGTGGTCCAGTTTCTATCTCTACCACCACAAGGCTTTTTGAGGCAGAACCAGGCAAAGAAAAGGAGATGGATCTGATGCTAAAAATTCCCTTCTGAGCAGGCAAACAATCCCCCGACTCCCAAGAAGCCCCTCTAGATGCCCATCTGAAAAAACAAACTAAGTTCTCCCTCTCTTGGTACCACTGGGCCCGAGGCAGCTGGTTTGGTGGGGAACTGGTGTCACCAATTCCCCGAAAAACAAACACACTGTCATTTGAAATCACAGACTATCCCAGGGTAGGCAGAAAACTTCTCCTGCACTGACAGCCGCACTCCCCAGCCTGTACACGTATGTGTGGCAGACCAGGAAGGGGAGTCTGTGCATGAGGCAGGAATTCCCTCCATACCCACCAACTGCTCCCTGCAAATCACTTTGCACAAAGACAAGCAGATCAGGCCTCCCACCTCCTCTGCGTGGAACCAATGACCCTGCAGAACAGGCTCTGCTTACTCAGTATCATACGAAGACAACACAAGGAGGCGGGCACCTCTCTGGCTGAATCCAGGGATAACCTCACTTCACCTGGCACCCTCCTGTCTTCAAATCAATCAAAAATAAATAAATAAATAAAATAGGAGCTACGAGAGCAAAGACAGCTCAGAGAGAGCTACCCGGGATCCCACTAGAGGAAAAAGCCCACCCACACCCCTCTCAGACCCTGCCCGTGCCACCTTCCCCAACAGGCCACCTCATCTTCATGTGCATCTCTGAGCTCCCTCAGACAGGGGGCATATCAGTGGGGGTACTCCAATTATCCCACGGTTTTAGTCCCACTTTGCAGCCATCTCAGAATGGCCCCTCCATCCTTTGGGGAAACCCCACCTTCACCCTTTTTCCAGGGGGAGGAACTGTTTTTAAGGTCCCCAGCAGCCCCAGAAATACTTCTGGGAAAAGGAAGTGCTTCTATTTTACCCAGACCAGTGAATCATCTGCCTAATTAGAAAGCTGTTGGCTCTGAAAGAAGGCCTCAGCCAGCCTGCTCTGACAGTGGCCTGACAGAGCCTGGCTTCCCGCTCCAGGCCATCAGGGGAGCAGGCAGAACGCCCCTGTTCTCCAAGATCTGGGACATAACAAACATCCTGGGGCATGTGGAGTTCAGTTTTAAAAATACAAAGGAGACACCAGATATGGAACTCCAGTCCAAGCACATAGGCAGAATTTTTTGTAAAGGCAACAACTGCAAATTCCTTCATGGACAGACAGAGCTGTTTTCTAATCCACGAGGGCCCGGGAGGAAGAGGCCCACATGAACTTCACCCTGGGCAGCCCTTGTGAAAAATATCAGAAAGTCATAGCACTGAGGAGCAACTGGCTCTCCACCTGCAAAGCAAGTGCTGAACCATCCGAATCTCTTCCCCACCCCCAAGTGAGAAAGCCAAGCAGCCCCACCATCCAACTGAGCTTCAGAAGCAAATTTCAAGCACCAGAATAAGATTCCTTTAAAAGGGGGCTGGAGCGATAGCACAGCAGGTAGGGTGTGTGCCTTGACCCAGGTTCAATTCTCAGAGTCCCATATGGTCTTCCGAGCACCACCAGGAGCAATTCCTGAGTGCAGAACCAGGAGTAACCCCTGTGCATCACCGAGTGTGACCCAAAAAGCAAAAAAAGTACTGTAGCACTGTCCTCCCGTTGTTCATCAATTTGCTCGAGCGGGCCCAGTAACGTCTCCATTGTGAGACTTCTTGTTACCGTTTGGCACATTGAATACGTCACAGGTAGCTTGCCAGGCTTTGCCATGCAGGTGAGATATTCTCTGTAGCTTGCCGGGCTCTCTGAGAGGGGCAGAGGAATCGAACCTGGCTCGGCCAGGCCGGTCGCACACAAGGTAAACTCCCTACCACTGTGCTATCGCTCCAGCCCAAGCAAAAAAAAAAAAAATAAGATTCATTTAAAGGCCAAAAATATATTTACTTCTAGTACAATCTCATACAGTCTTGGTTTGGGGTTGTTTTCTTTTTCCTTCCTTGAATCACTGTGTCTTATCTGCAACCGTCAGTGAATACCACTGCTAGAAGGATGGCAGGTTTCAAAGGAGCCCTCTAGTTTCTCCTGACCATATAGGTTTGTTTCCTATTGTGCTTTCTCTCCCACTTTGAACTTCCAGGCTGTCTATCCCTCCCCCATCACTACATGCACGAACACACACACAGCAGGATCAGTTTACCCACAGAGCCAGTGCTCTGTGCCCTGGGGAGCCAGGCAGCATCTATATCCAGCGAAACCCCTCGCACACAACTGCTTCTACTGCTCACATCCCAGACTGCTGCCGCTCTCTAAGTGCCATTTCAGAAAGCAAACCCTTTCAAAGAACAGATGGCAAAGAGAAGACGAGAAAGTCTTCCCCCCCCCCTCAAAAAAAAAGGATACTTCCATTCCACTATACTAATGCAGGCTCTTCGGATGGGGTTATTGAGTGACAAACAGAAAAGGGCGCGGGCAGGTCGGCTGTTAGACGAGTTACCCTGTTTTTTGCTCTTGGCGTATTGCTGACGTTTTCTTTGGGAGAGAGATCCTACAGGTGGGGGTCCGGAGGTGCTCATAGTTTGGGCAGCCTTGGCCTGTCTAGCAGCATCGATCGCAGCTTGCCAAGACAGGACCGTCTGCTTGGAGCTATTCGGCTGAGATGTTGGTCCTTCACCAGAAAGAGGGGGTCTGGTACCTCTTGCATAGTTTGCCTCTGGGGAGGAGAAAAAAAAACAAGAAGAAAAAAATATGAGCATGCTGTGTCAGGAAACAGCAAAGGTGGTCTCACGTCAGTGGCAGGGGAGATTGTTCCCATGCCCCCGCTCCCCACCCTCCTGTCCTATTTGTTGGCCCTTCACTGCTCCCCAACCAATGGGGTTAGGACGGCACCATCCAAGTCCTGATGAGGGGCCTTGATAGGGCACTTCTGTAGACAAATTGATCATTCCCACATTTATTCTACATCTTTTCTGACTCTGAAGAGTCAGGTGTCTCAGGCATTTACAGGTATATTCTGTCCCCAAAATGACCTGTAGTGTGTGCATGAGTGCATGCGTGCGCGCGCACACACAGGTGCACACACACAAAGATGGCACTGATACTTCAACAGTCTTTGTCATTTTCAGGGTGTTAATGGCCTTCCACAATCACAAAAGCTTCGATTCTCCAGGATGAAAAATAGGATCTCCACCACTACCACCACCACTGGCACCAGGGCAATAGCAAAAGCCCCATCACAAATACCGAGATTATGCACTGACACTTCCTGCGAATGAAAATTCATGATGCTTGGGACTCATTTCCTCCACAGGCTTCCGAAAACAGAAAACATCTTTCGGGCTTTTTTGCATTTTAAATTGCAGCCACAGCAGCCAAGCCAGCATCCAGTGAGACAGAGAAGGCAGGCAGCCCGCCACCCTCACAGCTCGGACACAAACAGGCCGGGTGTCACCAGGGGCCCTTCAGGCCTAAGCATCTCCGTGGGAGGCTGGCAGTCAGAGGCACAGGGGCTGAAAGGCACGGAGGCTGTATGAGTGAAGTCTCCTCCGCTGGGGCTCAGGGCAGGACACGTGCCTGCCTTGGGTCACAACCTCCTTACGGGAAAACGTGGCAGAGGCAGAGGGACGGGCATTTGCAAAACCAAGTGTTCCTAAGTCACGAGCCAGAGGCAGTCACAGAGAACATTATAGGTCTGCTGCTCAGCAGCTGGAAAGAGGGTCCAGAGCGGGCGGGCAGCAGGCAGCATCAAGCCTTCCCTTGAGGGAGTACGCCACGGGGGAAGGCCACACAAGCCCACCAGGATTGTACAGAGCATCTTCGACCTCCAAGGAGGGAGGCCAAGGGCTGCCTGAGCGACTCCAGCCTCCCTCTCCCCAGCTCGGGCGGGCGGAGTGGTAACTGCACGTGGTGCCCTGCCCCGGCTGGGGAGGGGAGCCCCAGGGCGGCAGCGACTCCCGGGCATTGCTAGGTTACCGCCGTGTGCACAGCCTGCGCTGGGAGCGGGAATACGCTTTCCACCCGACCCCCGGCTGTGGAGTCACAAGCCCGGCCCCCTCTGCGGGAGTGGGGTGCGCTTCACCCACGGGCGCCAAGGGTGAAAACCTGCAATCCTAGATTTTTTCCGGTGCCACCAAGGACCTTCTTCCCAGTTTGCCAAGGGGTGGGGAAGGAGGGGCACAAGCGAGACGCTGGAAAGGGGGCTCAGGCGGAAGACTAACAGCCATCCCCCCATTTGCTAGCTCAGGGAGCGTTGGTGGAAAGTTGAGCCCGAGGACACTGAACCCGAATCACCTCGGCTCGCCGCCCCTCACCCCCTCCACGGTACTCCACAGACTCCACGGACGCCCCCACCCCACAAATGCAGAATGAGCTGACATTCAAGGCCTGGAGGGGAGAACTGGGAGGCTGTCACGCACCTCCCCTGTCTATGTCGATGACACGGAGCTGGAAGCATCTCCTCCAACCCCCTCAACCCACCCAGCGCATCAGAGACGGGAGGGGGTGAGAAGGGAGAGGGGGTGGGAAGAGGAGGACCATGACAAGGATTAGATTTGGCAGCGGGTGCCCAGGCTCTGGCTGCTCACCGTTCGCGTGGTCCGCTTGCTGCTGCCGTTGATGCTGCATTTTTTTCATCATCATCATCATCATCATCCACGAACATTTATTGAGCGCCTACTGTGTGCAGGGCACTGTGCTGGACGTTAGGGGCGAGGGGGAGGACCGGGTAAGAGGGTGACCGGTAGGTAGGAGCTGCGGTCCCTGCCCTTAGTCTCGCTTTAGCAGGGGGGTGGGGAGGGACGGGGACAGATTACAGAAAATAAGAATAATTTATAAAAACCGCTCGCCACCCACGCTCCCGCTTTTTCAAAAATGGAGCAAAATAAACTTTTTTTTAAAAAAAATAAGGTCCAATGTATATATTAGCTTAGTAATATATACATGTAATTATTCTTCTTTTTTTTTTCTTTTCTTTTTTTTTTTTTCTTTTTTTGCTGCAAAGGAGAATTGGCTTGGTCCCTGCTCTAGCGGAGGGGCGCCGCGAGGATGCCGGCCCGGCCGCCGGGGCTGCTCCGCGCGCCCCCCATGCCCGCCCGCCGCCGCCCGCCCGCCGCGGTGCCCGCTGCCCGCTGCCCGCTGCCCGCCGCCGCCCGCGCCGCCGCTGGCTCGGGACCGCGGGCAGCGGAGCTCACATCCGGGGACGGAGGCGCTCGCTCCCTCGCTCCTCGCTCGCTCCGCGCCCGCCGCGCCGCGCCGCACGCCGCCTTCGCCCCGGCGACGCTGCGCGCCCGCCGCCGGCCCGCCCCCGCCGGCCCGCGCGCTCGGGGTGGCCGCCGCGTGGGAGTCGGGGTGCCGCCACCCCGGCCTGGCTCGGCGCTCCCGCGGGCGCCCGAGGGTTAAGCGCGCTCCAGCCGCGGGCCGCCCGCTTAACCCCCTCGGCGCCGCGCGGTGCCCTCCCCGCACCCCCTCCGAGGAGCGGGCGGGGCCTGTGGCGCCCGCGGCGGCGGGGTACGGAGCGGCCGCGCCGCCCCCCGCCGGTCCCCGGGCACGGAGCGGGAGGGGGAGGGCACGGGGCCGCGCGCGCCGCGCCCTCCCCTGCGCCCCGCCGCCTCCCCGCGCACCTGCACGAGGCCCCGCCCCCGGGCAGCGCAGGTGCGGGGGGTCGCCCTCCGAGAGGTCCGGCGCGGTGCCGGCGCCCCCCACGCCCCGTGCGAGGACTCCGGGTCGCGGGGGCACCTAGGGGAGATGGCCCTGGGCCGCGCGCTCACTGCCCCCAGGTAACCGCACCTTGCGATCGCACCTACTGCCGCGGCTCTCGCCCCAGCCTGGCTCCTGAGCTGGCGCCGCCCCGGGCTCCGGGACCGTGCGGATGGGTTGTGGCGCCTGGACCTGGCCCTTCTTCTCTCTCCTGCCACGCCGCGTCCCCAGCCCCGGCTTGTGTTTGGAGGCAGGTAAAGGGAAGTCGAGACCAAGGGCTTTCAAAAGCACCTGGGCTGGGGCTGGAGCAAGCGCACAGCGGGTGGGGCGTTTGCCTTGCACGCGGCCGACCCGGGTTCGAGTCCCAGCGTCCCCTGTGGTCCCCTGAGCACCGCCAGGAGTAATTCCTGAGTGCGTGAGCCAGGAGTAACCCCTCTGCACCGCCGGGTGTGACACACACACACACACACACACACACACACACACACACACTTGGGTCTGCTGGGTCACGGCTGGCTGTAGGGGCCCCCTGCGCTGCCTCTTGTATTTGAGGCGGGGCATGCACCCGGCGGCAGCTGGGGAAGACGCTGAAGCCGGTGGGGAGCGGCTATTTCCCCCTCCCCTCTATACAGGGGTGCTGGTCCCTGGAGCCAGAGTGTCTGCTTTGTTACTTCACGAGATTCGATTTATTTGCTTTTGTTCTGAATGTATGTTCCTACCGCGTTTGCCATCACTGTCTTTAAGCAAAAATAAAAAGCAAAAGGCTCAGCCTGAATTAAGGAAATCAAGTGTAGGTGTGCCTTGGCCAGAGAGAGCTCACTGGGCATCCTCAACCGTTGGAGGCCACCTGGGCAGAGAAACTGGGACCAAACTCGAGGGGTCTTCACCAGAAGACTGTCGAAGGACAAGGAGTCAGGACTGGGAGGATGCAAGCGATCAGTCTCCTTTTCTCTCTTTTCTTCCCCTGTCTTCTTTTTGCTTTGTTTTTGGAGGGACAAGAGATGGGGGAAAGCCCCATGGCCTAGTTCAAATCTAAAGTTAGCCACCACTTCTAAGGATGCTTCTGAGCCCAAGTCTGCAGGGATAGAAGATGATTTCTTTCAAGGAACTGCCCATCCCTGGACCCCTGAGAACTAGGCCCATGTTGAGTTTACAAGTATGTCCAGCACTTGCAGAACAGAGTCTGTGGCACTGTCTAAAGTCCCACCCAACAATTTGCTGGTAATTCAACTCAGATCAAAGGGCATTCCAAAGGCACCTGTAAAGGCCAGGATCTGGGGACTGGAGTGGTAGTACAGCAGGTAAGGCACTCACCTAGCATGTGGCTGACCTGTATTCCATCCCCAGCTTCCCATATGGTCCCTCAAGTACCACCGAGAATCATTTCTAGGCAAAGAGCCAGGAGTAACCCCTGAGTATCACTAGGTGTGACCCAAAACAAACAAAAAAAGATCAGGATATGCGCAGGGGTGTTAAGAAGCTCTCGGGCACAACCCTTCCCTCTAAGACACAGGACTGATCAAAGAAGCGGGTGTACAGCTCTGAGATACAGAACAGAGATGGCAATGACAGGGATGAAGGAAGTGCTATGTGGCTATCAAGGAAACTGATTATAATTGGAAGTCTCTGAGATGTGTTCAGGAAGTGATGACATCTTAACTGATTATTAAAAAATAAAAGTAACAGGAAACCAGGGAGATAGCCCAAAGGGCTGAAAGTATTTGGAATCCGAACTTCCATCCTAACTCTATATACCAAAAATAAGCACCTGATGGGGAGGAGCTGGGCAGGGATGAGGAGAGCAAAACACCAGGCATTTAGAGGTATATATAGTGTCCAGCTTCATAGGACACTACAGTGGAGAGTATGGTCCATTATACATACGTTAAAACCTACAGAGTTGAACCCTACTGTAAACTATAGGCTTGTACTAATGTATCAATAAATTCTTTGAGAAATTGGTTCATAAATGGAACAAATATGCCACTCTACTGGAGATGTAACTAGGAGAAATTATTGGGAGAGGGTAGCTATGGGAGCTGTAATTTCTGTGCAATTTTTCTGTAAGCCTAAAACTTCTCAATTTAAAAAAAACACCTATTAAGATCAGGGGACTAATTTTATTGGGCATAAATGAGATAAACAATATGAGCCGGAGGAAGAGGGAGAGGGGGAGGAGAGGGAGAGGGGGAGAGAGGGAGAGCCAAGTGCAGGCTGGGTGGTTTGAAAACAAGCAAGAGTAAAGCGTCAGAGGTGCCGCTGGGAGAGTGGGCTGGCTTGCTGCTTTACCCTCTCTGCCATGGGGTGTTCAGGTTGAGAAATGACCTGATTAAACTGTGACTCAGATCTCCACGTTTTATACTAATTGATTTTTTTAATTGAATCACTGTGCGATATACAGTTACAGAGTTGTTCATGATTGGGTTTTAGTCAGACATGTTCCATCACCTGTTCCTCCACCAGTGTACATTTTCCACCACCAATGTCCTCAGTTTCCCTCCCGCCCCCTGCCCCACTTCCCCCAACCTGCCTCTAAGGAAGGCACTTTTCTTCTTTCTTTCTTTCTTTCTTTCTTTCTTTCTTTCTTTCTTTCTTTCTTTCTTTCTCACTCTCTTTTTCCTTTCCTTTTGGGCCTGCTGGTTTATTTATTGATCTTAGAATTTTTTTTTAATTTTTATTAGTGAGACATCATGAGGTACAGTTGTAGACTTACAAATTTTTGTGCTTGGGTTTCAATTATACAATGATCAAATACCTATCCCTCCACCAGTATCCCTCCCACCCCCATCCCTCCCATCCCACCCTGCCTCTGTGGCAGGGCATTCCCTTTTGTTCTCTCTCTCTTATTGGGTGTTGTGGTTTGCCAAAAAAGTATAGTCGAAGTGACATCTGCAGTTGTTTGTTCATTGCAGCACTCTTTACAATAGCCAGAATCTGGAAAAAACCTGAGTGCCCGAGAACAGATGACTGGTTAAAGAAACTTTGGTACATCTACGCAATGGAGTACTATGTAGCTGTTAGAAAAGACGAAGTCATGAAATTTACATACAAGTGGTACTACATGGAAAGTATCATGTTAAGCGAAATGATTCAGAAAGAAAGGATAGACATAGAAAGATTGCATTCATCTGGGGAACATAAAGTAACAAAATAGGAGACTAACACCCAAGAATGGCCGAGATTAGTACCAGGAATTTTACTCCATGGCTTGGAGGCCAACCACACATGCTAGGGGAAAAGGGAGCTCAGATAGAGAAGGGAACACCAAATAAAGGTGTTGGGAGGATCCTCCCAGGATGGGAGAAGCATGCTGAAAGTAGACTATAGACCAAACATGATTGATCTTAGAATTTTAAACTTTATCCCACCCTAACTTCTGAATGAGTCCCATCTTTGCAATGTCTCCAGCTTTGTTTTGTGGGCCTTAAAGCAACACAGCACTGAATGTTTTCGCCCTTTGGGTAACTTAAATATTTATATTCTTATGATAATGTGAATTGCTGAACAAAATATTCATAACTGATTTTTTAGAGGTTTCCTATATGTCAGGCACTAGTATAGGTACTTTACTCCTGGTACTTTTGTATGAGAGTAATACAAGTCTATGACACTGTACTGTTAAGACCCTCATTTTGCAAATGACAAAATTAAGATGTCAAGGAATTAAGCAACTGGCCTCAAACCAAACAGAAATACTTAGTGGCTGAGGGGAAAAAACCCTTGAAGAAAGGCTAGAACCACCAGAGGACAGAGTGGGAAGAGTAGTTGAAGGAGTGAACTGAGATCATGGTGGAGGGAAGTAGGTACTATGGGGGAGGGTGTAGTGTGTTGGAACATTGCATGCATGAAACAACAGTAGTATTGTTAATCATGCTGCCTAATTTTCTTTAATATAATTCAATTTAAAAATAAAAAAGATTTCTACTCTAAGTCTGCCACATGTGATTAGATTCCGATGATGTCACTGACATTCCGTGGTGAAGTCTTATTGCCCAGACCCTTTGGGGCAAACTACCCCCATTGCTGGCCTTAGCTGGCCTTTTCGATGGGATTGCCTACCTGTACTTCATTTCAAAACGTCTTGCTGAGCAGCCTGAGAGATAGTACAGGCAGATTAGATGTTTGCCTTGCATTCAGCCGACCTCAGTTTGATCCCCAGCATCACCTAAGGTGCCCTGAGAACCACAGGAATCCCTGAGTACAGAGCCAGGAGTAAGCCCTGAGCACCACAGGGTGTGACCTAAGCTTCCCACCACAAATAAAACCTTGCTGACACCCCAGTCCAGGTCTTACGACCTCACATACCCCTGTGTCATAGTCTAGTGTCCAATCTCCATTCCTCCCACCCACAAAGAATGTAGCTTGTGCTCAAAGTACA